TTTTTCTTGCTGTCAATGCGAACAGCAGTGATGAAAATGGCAAGGTCCTTCTCAACCAGAATGAAGCCCTTGAAGCATCCAGCTTTGGGCAGTTCTGCACCTATATGTTTCATGGATGCTTGGGGCAGCTACAGGTAAAATGTGTTGAGGCTGTGGTGGCAGATTATTACCAACTGTTATATCTTTTTATTGAGCTTGGAGGGAACCTTTACAGCAAAAGGAATTGAAGGCAGAGCATAACTGCAAATTTGTGTCAGCTCCTGTAAATGAGACTGAGACTCCCCTTGCTCATCTCATAAACTCCTTTGAAGAGCCAGAAAAGGATTACTTTCAGTCATGGTTGACAAGTGCTGGAACCCAACTAAATTACCTAGATGAGCCCATTAAGTGGTTTCCAATGGCTGTGCCCTCCATTTTCAGTTTAGCAGTTTAGCTCTCCAGACACTTTGCTGCACCCTGACTGCACATTAATCGCCCTCCCTCTCCTGCTTTAATTAAACAAAAACAGTGTGTTGCAAGTACTGCAAGCCTGCATTGCCACATAGCTTCTGTGATGGCAGTAAACTTGTCCTAATGATCTCTATCATCTGTTTGGAAGGAAATGTGGAGGGTATACATCAGGGAGAAAGCTCTGTAAAATACTTTGTTAAGATGGTCTAAATAAGAAGAGAAGATTTGCTTGAACTGTACAGGTGGATCCAGATGGAAGTACATTTGCTTTCAAGATTGTGGCCCTTTTTTGCTTAACAGAAAGACGTAAATCATGCTGTGTGTCAAAGAACTCCCTTCAAAGGTGTTGGTGGGTTTCATAGTTGTTTCTGACCTGCAGTTATACAGCACTATGTGAGTGGAGAGACTGACCACAGATTGATGCTATGAAGTGACCAATGTACTGAATACTGAGAGGGAGATTCACAGGCTTCAGTCTTAATGTTTGCATTGCAGCTTGTGTTAACTCAAAGTATGCTTGTAGGCAATTTGCTAACAGAAAAAAACCCAAACAACAGTTTTCTAGCATAATCTGTTTTGAATTGTTCAACAAATGCTAGTTAGGACAATGTTTCTGTCTGTCTGGCTAAGTGAGAACTACTTGTGAGACTATTCCTTGTGATCCATCCCCCTCCTGGTCTCAAACCAGACACTGATCTTCTCTACCCAAAAACTCCCCCACCAGTCCATTCTCTTGCACTCCCAGCCTACTGCAGCTCCTCCCCATAGGACCTGTCTACATCCTGCAAACACTGGATACCAAGGCATATTTGAAGCCTGTAGCACCACATTGGAGAGCAGGGTGGGGGTGAGGGGTGGGAGAAGACCTGGAGCTTTCCTTCCACCATCAAAGGATCCTCACTGCTCCAGTTCCCTGCTGCTCTCTTCTGAAATGGGTGAAAAGGGCTAAAGTCCTGGAGATGGGATCCCTGCGGAGGGCCTTTGCCTAACAGGCAGTGTGGTTGGTTGGCAGGTATTCAGTGATATCGGACGCTGACACAGAGAGCATCTTCATGGAGCCAATCCATCTGTCATCTGCCGTGGCTGCCAAACAAATAATCAAGGAAGGTAAGAGGAGGAAGGGTAAAAGAACTATGTAAGTAATAGAGACTTGAGTTGCGCTTGTTTTGCCTTTCTTATCCAGAGATCCTAAAATGATAAAAAAGCTTTTATGAGAAAACCCCACCTGAGGTAGAGGTGAAAACCACAAAGAAATAACAATTTAGAGAAAGGTTTGGTGACTTCCTTTGAAGTTGTGCACTGAATCTGTGGCAGAGTCCTGTACCACAGTAGTGAATACAGTTTGATTGCTGGTTGCTTGCTGCAACAAACTGAATGGAATGGAGTGGAATGAAATCAACTGGAATGGAATGGAATGGAATAGAATAGAATAGGGTAGGATAGGATAGGATAGGATAGGATATTTCAGTTGAAAGGGACCTACAACAGTCATCTAGTCCAACTGCCTGACCAGTTCAGGGCTGACCAAAAGTTAAAGCCCGTCATTAAGGGCATTGTCCAAATGCCTCTTATACACTGACAGGCTTGGGGCATCGGCCACCTCTCTAGGAAGCCTGTTCCAGTGTTTGACCACCCTCTCGGTAAATAAATGCTTCCTAATGTCCAGTCTGAACCTCCCCTGGTACAGCTTTGAACCATCCCCACACGTCCTGTCACTGGATCCCAGGGGGAAGAGCTCAGCACCTCCCTCTCCACATCCCCTCCTCAGGGAGCTGTAGAGAGCAACTGCATTCTTCTGGGGCTAGAATGAGCGTGCCCTTAACTCCCAGGCTGTTGGCCAGTGTGGGTCCCTGGACTGAGAGCATAGTGCAATAGGCTCTTCCCGTTACTAACTACCTCAAGGCTACTAGATAAGCATGTACGTGCACACATTGCAGATAGGACAGCGCAACGTTACTGGGAGAAAAAGCAAGCCACAAGTCTTGTCCCACGAACAAAGAATGACAGGTCATATATTTGCATTGTTTTTACATGCTTTTAGTTACAATGTCAGTTTATTCCAGAACTGAAGACAAAGGATGCCAAGGTAGATTCAGTGTGTCCCAGGATGTTAGAGTCTGCGCAGCAGCTGATGGTGGAAGACCTGTACAACCGAGTTAAGGAAAAGATTGATGACACCAGCTTGTTTAACACGCCGTGTGTGATGGACTTGCAGAGGGCACTTGTGAAGGACAGACTGGAGACCCCCAGGGATGCTGTGGATGAAGTCTGGCCTAATGTCTTCATAGCAGAAAAGTAAGTGTCAGCTTTTGTCATCAAGTTGCACAAGATTCCCAGTGAAGGGTCAGATGGAACCATTGAAGGCATAACATGTATTATGTGCATCTAATACCTTTTATCCCTAGAGAGCCCCAAAGTGTTTTTCAGAATATGCTCACAAAGATCTCTGTGCGCTGAAAAGTAAATACTTCTGGAACAGAATTAGCAGCTTTCCTATGATATTTTGATGCTTCAACTATTTAGGAGAGGAAAAGGCAAATGAGCTCAAATGACACTGTTCTGATTGGAATTTGGCCCTGAAATTGGGACTAAAGTCTTTGTTATGTAAAAGAGAGTTAAGAAATGCCATAGCAAATATCAAGTGGTTACGTCTTCTGTACCATGGCTCAGCTGTCTGAGACACCTGTGCAAGTGACTAGACAGAATTAGAAGGGGATGTGGTGTAAAGCATCAATTACAAAGTGATAAAAATTAAGAAATAAGTAAACAGCCTGAACCTAGGATGGCAGGATGAGTTTAAAATCAAGCTGGAGTGGAAACTGAGCATGCAGCTCTACTGGTGAGTGCAGGTTTCTCATTTTCTTTTCCCAGTGAATACTGGAAAGAAATACCCGTAGAACTCTCAAAGGACATTAAGGTCTGAGTGGAGCCACATGTTGGATGAGTAACACAGACTAGGAGCTCTGTAGAGCTTGTAGCAGACAGCTTCTTTCCTACCCAAAATAGGGGCACTGATATCTAACATGTTTTTTTTTCTTTTCTGAAGAAGTGTTGCAGTGAACAAAAGCCGTTTGAAGAGACTGGGGATCACGCATATCTTGAATGCAGCTCATGGTACAGGCGTATACACAGGGCCAGGTTTCTACAATGGTCTGAATATCCAATACCTGGGCATTGAAGTGGATGATTTTCCAGATATGGATATCTCCAAACACTTCCGACCAGCTGCAGAGTTCCTTGACGAAGCACTGCTGACTTACAGGGGTAAGAGGAGAAGATTATAGTGGTTCCAGAATGCTTGGGAATTAATGGGTGGAAGCGTTACTCTCATAAACTGCTGATGCGACATTTGTAATTGGGTAGAAGGCAGATACTTTGTTCTCTGCATCCAGTTATGGTCAACACTTCTTGCCCATTTCTGCCATGCCTCATTCAAAACAGGAGGTAGCAAACTAGTGAGAGGAGGCAGCCCAGCAGCCCCTGCTGCAAGCCCCATGTCTTCGGACTCAACCTGGCTGCGAGCCACCTCCCTCAGCTGCTTTGAAAATACCTACTGTTGCAAAGAGGTGAAGCCCTGCTCCAATAAATATAGGTTTTCATATTGATATTATATAATACTATATATATTTATAT